AAATTACCTCAAAGTGTGAATTTGTAAATTTCCTAACATTTTAATGTACTAGGAACAAGCTGGCCCTTATGTATCCATAGTTAGAGACTAGTAGGTTCTTTAGTCATTTAGTATATTATTGATGACTTATTGATTTCCAGCCAGACCTTATCAAATAGACTTAAGACTTCTTATGGAAGAAATGGCTTTTTCATTAAAGTATTGCATGCACAATAGAAGAAGATAGCTGAACATTCTGGTGGGGAAATGTTATCAGATACATTAGGCTGTCAGTATGCTTAAAAAACATGGCTTTCATTGTCTACCATGTCCTGGAGTCTCCAAATAAAACTAGAAATAGAAGCACCTACCTAGTTAAGTTAGGTTTTGCAGCACTGTTTTTAATATCAAGGATGAATTTCAATGGGAAGTTATACTTCAGTATCCTTTCTCCTTGGGTATTCAAGAGAAAGAGTCTGTTGATAACTAGTTCCTAAAGTTGATGAACCTGAGGATTTGCCTCTTAGTGGTCTAATTTGGTGACAGACCAGTTCTTTTCTGGGTTAAATAATTTGTTTCTGAGAAGACAATGTGAAGAGGAATTTAAATGCCTTCAGACTGACCTAGAATTACGCCATATACATTTATTAAAGTTAACTCCACTTAATACATTTAGAAATACAACCATCCAGATTTCCCAGAAATGTATTCCAAGGTTTAATGTGAGTAGAATGGGAGTCCATCATTACATTTCCCAAATGCCCTATGTTTTGCCAAAGAATAATTCATGCCCTAGATGCAGCTTTTTCCACAAACATAGTGCTTTTCACTTGCACTTCCTTCTCCTTTTTCACTTTTTCATATATAAACCTAACAATTGTTACTGCTAGTTTAGAAATGGTTGCCATAATAATTTTAGTTTTTGGTGACTCTCCAAGGAAAATTTGTTTTTCTTTCTTTCCTTTTTTTTTTTTTTTTGGTTGTTGTGTTGTGAAATGTGATTGAGTTTTGTTTGTATGGGCAGGGATCACACACCAAATATATATCTGCGTTCTACACATCTCAGGAGAGGCCTTGTAATCTCATACAATAGTGCAGGAAAGGAAGGACCTGGTAGTTTAATACTTATTGAAAGACCCTCTTGTCTTAGGGACTATGGACATCATCCATGTGAGATGCTGGGGTCCAACCCCAGCAGGTCCAGGGGTCCCCAAAG